CCTATATATTTTCAATATGCAAAATACCTTCAAAATAGCATATATATGCATATATAAGCATGTCCCAAGGTTTTATTATTTTTTCCATAATTTTAAAGGTTTAAATTGATTTATTTTCTCCCCGTTTATCCATAAAATCCCCAATAATTAAAATTATTATTTTGATAATTCATCTATTGTATTTCTAGACTTATCCCAAAATATGGCTAAATTAATTTTTACAATTTTATTTAGTATTTTTAAAGCTAAATTGCACATAATTGCAATACTAGCCTTTTTATATTTAATTATGTTTTATACGCATAAAATTGGATCATGTGTTTTTTAAAATTGTTAATTATGTATTATAAATTATTTTATCCCTTTAAATTAGTTTTCAGAAACTATACTATTTTTTATAAATTAAATAGGGAAAAATGGCTATTTAAAATATAGCCAAATTGGCTTTCAATTGTAGCCCAAAATTGGACCCCAATTTCCCAACCCAATTCTAATAAAACCCGACCCACACCCTCTTTACCCATGCCCAAACCCGGAACCCCACCTACCCGTCTCATCCTAGCCGTTGATCTCTAAGATCAACGACCCATATTTCCCTTTACCTTTTTTAACCCAAACGACCCCCTAACCTAACTTATTTGTTACAATCCGCCGCCCTTGAATCCCCTTTCCTCTTCAATTCTCTCTGAAACCTAACTCAAACCTTAATCGCCGCCACCTAAAACCAGCCCAATCCCCTTTGATCCTCACTCAATCAAGGGATTCCCATGGTTGTTTGAGACGTATACTTGTCTCCTACGTTTCCTGGTTGCCCGTTTTTGTGATTTCGTGGAAAGATCTCGAAGAGATCTAGTCCAGATCTTGTTCAACTTCTATCCATGGTCTTTTATGCTACTTTCCGGCCATCCATGGCTGTTCGAGTAAGATCCATGACCTTACTACACTCAAGTACATTACTCAAGTTCTTGCGATGCCAAGTCAGCCTTACTACACTCAAGATCGCTAAAAGAATGGTAGAAAGAACACAAGAGAATTGTTAAAGAAAGTTTTGTATTAGAGAGAACTTGAATTGTTTGCTTGGTGAATTATAAATGAATGACCCCCTTTATATACTAGTCTCCTAGGGGCTAGTGTGTAAATAATAATTATTATACAAGTCCTTAATATTTACAAGATAAGGTCTTTCTCTAGAATTCTCCATAAGCCTAGAAGATTCCAAGGACTTTCCTAGCAAATCCATAATGATTTAGGTTCTTCCTAAGGAAATATCCATACTTCTCTAGAATCTTCTCACAAGTGCTAGCCTTCTTCTTATGTAAGCTTCCACATGGCATTAATATATGCCAAATGGCACCTATGTGGCATGATGACGTGGCAGGTCATCACATAAAGCTCAAAATTTTTTTTGGGTACAACTAAAAACCCAAGAGTTAAAAGTCAAAGATATTTTTTTGGGTACAACCAAAAACCCACGAGCTAAAATTCAAAGAAAAGTTTTTCGATACAACTAAAAACCCAAGAGTCAAACTCAAAGAAAAGTTTTCGGGTTCAACTGAAAACCCAAAAGTTAAACTTCAAAGATTAAGTTCAGGGAAAACACTAAAAACTTGAGATCCAACTTTTTTCCGTGATGGTAGTACTTCTTCAGCGCCAATTGATCATCCACAAAAGAATACTAAGTTGTCATTTGAATCCCTAAGTTTTGCACTCTTTTTTTCATCGCCTGATTTTTGTCCCTATTGGATTTTCTCGACAAAGTTTTTAATGAGACAATAACGAGGGTGGAAAACTTTCACTTCCCAGTCACATCACAGTAAGTAACCGGAAAGTTGGGGAAACTATCTGTATACAGTGAAAATCGGTCTCAAAAGATGAGTGACTTAGAAAGTAACACGTGTCAATTATGATCAATCGGCAGTGTTTCAACCATGTTCATACCGGATACAAACTTGTGGCTGGATAAGATGTTGACACCAGATACAAACCTTCAAAATATGACCGTTGTAGAAACTTTACGGAAGACCCTGGCCTTTACCAGCCTTTATTGGCTTTTATTAGCCTTTATTAGAATTTATTACCTTTTATTATCGTTTATTGTAACATATATATTAGTAATCAATAGGGCATAATTGGTAGACCATACACCTCATACTCTAGTATAAATAGAGGCTTACATTCTATTGTAAAACATTAAGAAAGTCTTATAACAAAAAAACTATTATTCTTTCTCTCAATCTCATATACAAGTGTTATTAGGATTCTATAATCACTCTTGATCCTGGTGGGAACATTCTAAAGCTCGGACTTGTCTTTTTTTAATTCTCTTTATTTTAATCGCTTTGTTCTTCATTACTTTATTTATCGGATCAATTTAATCCATGTGTCTATAAATCACGCTACAAATTCAACTGTACTATTTTTTCGGTAAACAAACATCCTATTACCGCTTCCGTATGCAAGGAAGTTGGACTAGTTATTAGACCTCTCTCTCTCTCTTTCAAACCAAGCCAAATGAGCACATCTAGTTGAAAGACTCTTATTCTTATTTAGTATGGGAAGATCTTTCAATAAAAGCTTAAGCTTAAGAGCTTTATCCATAAGTAATGAGAGAAGACTTTTAGAAAACCTTCATGTCTTCTCTAAAGACAGAGATCTTACTGCTACCTTTGAGTCTGACAATCTAGTTTTCTAGGCTTTTCACTTTTAGAATCCTCTTTTCTTTGTGTGTTCTTTATCCTATTCCGATTCGATTTAGCTTCCGTCAAGCCCTATATGAGTAGTGAAGAAGTATAGAGCACTTTGGTTGGTTGTTGACCAGCGAAAAGCATGGGAGAAAGATGCACAAACAAAAAAAGGCTAAAAAAGGACAAAGTGATTCCATATAGAAAGATATGGCTTTTCAGATTTAGATCGAAATTTCATCCCCAAAACCTATATTCATTCATGTTTTGCTTGTGCGTTTACAATATCCATATAGGTAAATTCATATTATACATTAGGAAATATATATTAAAAATGTAAAAGAACTAGACAATGACCTATAAGCTTAGGGTAAAATAGGTAATTTAAAAAAATATTTGAGTTTGGAGGAGCAGAAAGTCTATTATTTAATATTAGAGAATAAGTTTGATTTTTAAGCTAAAGTTGAGTGATCAAAATGATTTTCACCAGGTATAATAATATTTACACTTATAGACTAAAGAAGTAATTTTCAGCCTAACAATCCACTTGTCAAGAGAAAGGCAAGTCAAACAACAGACACAAATGGACCTTCATCAGCAATCGACACAAAGCAACAGAATTTATAACGTGCGTATTCCTCTTTCACTCTTTATAACGCACAAAGCCGCAAAAGAAAACAAGAGCATATTCCTCTCCGTCTCCGTCTCCGTCTCCGTCTCCGTCTCCGGCCACACTCGCACTTCTTTCACTCTTTCCCTTTTACTTCAGCTTGACAGTGAACTTTTCTCTTCAGGGTAAAACCCATAACCCAGTTTCCATTCAATCCAATTTTTTTATTTAAATATTTGCTTGAAAAACTGTTATATGCAACTCAATTCCATCTACATTTCGCTCTCTCTATTTTTTGGAGAGCCTTAACTCTTCCATTGCTGAATTTGGTTCCTCACAGAATCGTTTGGTTGCTGCTACTGCTGCACAGGTACCATTTGGTCTACTAGGCTTTCTCTTTTTTTTTTTTGGTGTGTGTTTTGGTTTTGTACTATTTATTAATTTCTTTATATGCCTTTGTTGAATTAACTCCATAAAAAAGGAAAAGGAGGTATCTTGGTAATTCCTGAGTAGTTTAATGGTTTTTGTACTTTTTTTTCCCTTGCAAGTGAAACTATTAGATAATATATGAGATTGTAGTTGATTTTAAAACCAATTTAACGAATGGTGTCAAAGGGACTCATGAAATGTTTTCAAAGCGAAAAGCACAAAAAAGCGACAAGGTACACGGGCAGTAACAGAGAACGATTTTTCACTAAGGGGTGCCAAAATATAAAGAAGTAAATACACGAGGAGATCAAGGGGATTCAATACATAGTATATATACATAATAGTAAAAAAGTTTACCTTATCTACACAGTGGAATTTTCCATCGACCCTTTCATAGAGTAGCTTCGACATTGTCCATGAGGCATGAAGCGAAAATGCAAAAGTGAAGACATGCATCGTTGAAGGGAAGTGCACAATTTAATTAAAAAAATGAAACGTATATGAATTTATTACTATAATAGTGTCAAACAAAACAACTGATTTCAGCATCCAATATACAATAATGTCAATGTTAATGCAACTCATTAAAGTATAGATTCAAATACTCGACCACTTTATTTAGTTTGGTTTGCCATCGAATAATTGACCACCTCTTGTTGGGATGATTTTGTGCGTCATTTTCTGAATTGCACACTTTTCTGAAACGCATGGCTTTGTCCGTGAAGCAATAGCCCCTGGTTTCACACTAGACTCAAATTTTTTTAAACTTGTTAGAGTATTAGGCTATGATATGAGCAGAAAACTAGATTGATCAGAAATGGAAAAGGAAGTGAAATAGTGTTCAGAGCAAGAGACAGTTCTTCTTTTCGAGGTCTGCTCCTTCAGAACATAGGTTATTTCTTGATTGCTTCATTCTCTATAATTCTTCAGTTGATTGCTCCAAACTTGAGAAGTAACCCACTAAGAAATTTTGTGTGGTTTACCGATTGAATTAAAATACTGTGTCTATAATGGGTTTAATGAGATTCAATCCAACTTTTGATTTAATTGGCACATTTGGTATAAGATTCTTTATCCTTGGCTATCATCACTTTTTGTTCTATATTTATTGACCCTTTAACTCCTGAATGCTTGTTCTTTGTTTGGCTCAGCCACCAGAAGCTCGAACAAACTCCATCAACTGCAAGCAGCCTTCAAACTTTCTTGGCCTTCTCCTCTTTACCTCCTTAGAGAATCTCTTAACCCAAGTAAACACTCTGTTAAATGCTTGTTTCTTTCTCTGTTCCAGTAGCTAAAGATAGGAAAATCGAAATGACTGGTATGTTAGTGATTCAACTAGTCAATTAAAACATGAGTATCATGGTGGAGGAAGTTTTATCTCGCCAATTTGATTTTCATGGACAGCTGGACTAGAGAATGAAAATGAAAAAGGACAAAGGAAGATTGTGAAATCTTGCGGATAAATGCTCTAAATTGTTCTTGAGAACTGAATACAACCTTATCTTTCCTACTTTTCAATGCATTCGTAGTATGAATGTTGTAAGAACCGTACTATTGAGCTGTCTCCATAAGTTGCCATAGTAATAGCAACCTACTTTTACTTCATCAAAAAAAAAATTGCGACCTGCTTTATTCCCATTTTCCATTTAAATTGACGGATACAAGAAATTACATTCATTTATTCAATCTTTTTTTTTTCTCAACAAATACCCTTTGTCAATTTCGTCACATTCAACCAAATAGGTTATACATGTTACCACGATTTGTATGATGATTGTTTGCTATTCTTTTATCAGAAAATTCAAGATTAATAAATGCTTTGTTTGTGAAATAAGCATATGTCCTTGAAACTTTGTTCTTTTTGAGAAAAGAAAAAGATAAAAACTCAATAAAGGAAAGAAATATAAGGCTTCTTCAATCTGACCACTTGATTTAAAAAAAAAAGAGGGTTTTCTTCTGACCTTGGCTGGGTTCAAAAATTTATTTCTAAGTGGACTGTGTAAAACTATAATTCATTTAACAGAAGTGTTTCTCAATTTAACTATCATTAGATTGTAGTCAGCGTGTTAATGATATTACTTTCCTTAAATTATGGACATCCTTGCTGTCATGCTGTGACAAGGACTGGAATGCCTTTGATCATTGTATTTGAAGCCCCAAGAATTGTCTTTATTAAATGATAATTTTATTATCATCTTAATTCTTAGTTTGTAATGTTTGTTTATCTTTTGGGATGGCAATTGTGGTGGGAAGGGAGGAGAAGGGGGATGGAACCGGTTTCAAAAGTGAAAGACTTACCATGCTAGCATCTCCACTGTTAATGCAGGACTTATTTTGGATTCATTTCTGATCTAGTCAAGTAATTTCACTAGCCGCTGCTTTATCAATGAATTATTCACTTAAATCAATTGCTGATATTTCTCTTACTTTTTCCTCTTCCAATCACTATTGACAAGTGCTTGATGACCCATTTACTATTGATCTCTTAAATGACCTTAAGAGTTAACTATAAGAAGAGGTGAATTTATAACCGATGCATGATCCTGGATGAATTTTGGTGAAATGAATAGCCTTTTGTTATTAAGCTTGTCTGGATTCGATAAATGCTTTTTTTGCAATTTTTGGCGTTAAGATCTAGGTATTAAATAGTTCTAGAGAAAACGACACACATCCACCTATATTTGCAAATTTCATTCAATGACACTGATTTTAAACAGGTGGCTGCGTGGTTTTAGTCTTTGAGAGAGAGACAGAGAGAGCGAGAGAAAGATGAAGACTATCTACTTGAAAATCTAAAGCAACCATGCATTAGTCCTTGTCCTTGACTTGGTTAAGATTGCACTCAAGGAAGTGAGATTTTCCTGAAGGTAAAACCATGAATCACATTATTCTCTTGGGTTTCTTTTTTGTGAGGCGGAAATATGGAGATCTTTAATTTATCTACTAATTCTGGGAGATCTAGTTGCTTTTGTAGATAAATATTTGAAACAATTGTCAGAAAATTTTGATCTTGTTTATCTAAGCTTATGGTGTAGATTTATGGTTGATCTTATCTTTCCAAATCTTGTATGCTTGTTACGCTCGCGCATGTTCTGAAAGTCAGAGTCTAGCAACAGCTTGTGCTCAGTTCTTATAGTCCTCAATTTGTTTGGCTTTGTGCAGGAGCACCGAGATGCATATAGATAAATCGGGATAGTTTACCTGATAAAAAAAAAAAAGAAGATATTTCGGGTTGCTTGCACTTAGACCTTGCACCTTGCATCTATTGCACAGATTACATTTATGATATCTGTTCATGATAATTTATCATTTCTCTTAACTGCAAGTAACTCCTCTATCTATGCCTATGCTTGGGAAGCGTATATTTTACTAGGATAATAGTGGTCAGACATACTATTTCCATATTAGATAGGAGTTGCAATTTTGGTCGTGAATCATGAAGTTCAACGGGACTATGTACAAAAGAAAGAAACCACTTACAAATAAAAAATGCAACATATTTTTCCCTGTCATTTACTTTTAGGAGATCTCCTTTTACAACCTATGTGACGATAACTCCAGCGAGCTTATGTCGACGAAGCCACCCCAGTAAACTATTTACTTATCCTAAAGGAAAAATAAAAAAAATTATCCCAGTAAACTGAAGGAATAATATGCAACAGTAGACAAGTTTGTGCAGAAGTAAAATCATTAATTTAGCCTGGGACCAATGAGAAAGTCTCTGGTTTCAGTCCCCTAGGCCGATCACATCCTGAATACTTATAGGCCTTATAGGCCTATCTGAGCAATATACTGGTCAAATTTGATATATGTGTAGGTAAAGCTGTTCAGATTGAGTAAAAAAGTGTTCAAAAGTCTACTTCACCAAAATCAGATGTAGCATCACTTTTGAAGTTGGTTTTATTGTGCTTGCTTTTTCTATGATCTTCCAAGCGACTGCGCATTGTGTCTGCCTTCAACTGTGATAGTTGGAGAGGCTTGTCTTATCTTCAAATTCTGTCATTTTAGGGATTCGTTCTAGCTTCTATTCATAAAGAAACAGTTCTGCGTTTGTCCAGATTATTGATGGTTTGAGTTTGTAGCAATTACTTTTCCTGAAGTGTAAAAGCTCGTGTTGGCATATTATCCTGAAGGCATGGATGGGGACTCCTTTTGGGTGGAAGAATTCAATGATCAGTTACCCTTTTCTTTAAAAAGGAAGAGAAATGTCAGAATCAAGAAACTAGAGTTTGTTGGATGGGGATCCAAACCGTTGGTTGAATTCCTTGAATCAATTGGTAAAGATACAAGCAGAACATATTCTCAACAAGAGGTGACGGCTATTGTCACTGAATATGTAAATTCGAATAATCTTCTTAATCCACAAAAGAAAAAGAGGGTTATGTGTGATGTGCGACTTCATACCCTTTTCGGAAAGAAATCTATACCGCGGATAAAAATCTATGACTTGTTGGAAGTGCACTTCAGTGAGAACCATGATGAATCAGAGGATGAATCTCCTAACAATTCGGAAGAGGAGGATATTTTGATAGCATCTAAGGGAAGAAAAAGTACAGTGAGTCCAAAGAAAAAGGCTCCTGTTGTTTCTAAAAGCTGTTTTGCGGCTGTTATTGCTGAAAACATTAAGCTTGTGTACTTGAAGAGGAGCTTAGTTCTGGATCTTATGAAGACCCCTGAAAGTTACGGAGATAGAATTGTGGGTTGCTTTGTGAGGGTAAAATCTGACCCAAATGACTACTTCCAGAAAAACTCCCACCAGCTTCAGCAAGTTGAAGGTATATTGTCATTGTGCACTTCTGTTTTCTGAATATCCTGTAGTGACTAAATAACATTGATGTTGCATTGATATTTCTCATAACAGAAGACTTCACTCTCTATAAAACAGACTCGGGCAAAATGTAAGGAAAACAACAATCCGGTTCCGGCCTTTAAATTATGCTTCCCTCCAAATATATCCTTTTTCATAGTCATAGTCCTTTGCAAAAGCATTTCTAGTTAAATTAGAAACAGGTGATTGCTGAGTAAAAGCTTTTCTTAAGATAAAAATTGGAAGTAGTAAATACTCAGAAAATTCTTTTCTATACTTAAAACTATTAAAGGAAAAGGAAAAAGAAGCAAACTAAAAAAGAACAGAAAAATATCACTATTCTACCATTCTGTAGAGACTCTGCACTTTTTTCATCACTGGACATGCTATGCTATGTTTATTCTATTTGTACTGGTTAACCAAAGGAAGGAAAAATTGTTAGTGGAACGGTAACTTTATAAACTGAACGACACTTATGATTGAGAATACATGTCATGACTTCTGTAGGTGTCTTGTCCAAGACAAAACAATTTTGCTTGCCTGCCAAAAAGAAATATTTTGTGTAATGTAATTGCTTGCTTCTGCTTATAGTTCTTTAATTGTCTCAAGAAATACTTCTAAAAGAGGCTATCTCCTCTTATTGCCATTCTCTCTCATCCCCTTTTCATTTTCATTGTTCCTTTGTGGAATTCCTAAGAATCTTTCCTTCAAGGGAAACAGAAACAATTAGCTACTCATAGCCAGGTAATACTATTTGCCTAATTACTGAATATGTGGTTTTCCTGAAACTTTGATGATCAAGACAATTTTGCATTATCTCTTAGACTGTGCATAGTTGAAGAGGACCATGAAAAATGGAAAAGTGAATGTTGTCTTCTCCATTAAATCACATTCTCTGTCCTGCTTGTTTTTTCATTGTAAAGTTGAATGCTTCACAGGTGTAAGAAATTTTTCAGCAACCAGCGATGCTGCTTTTGAAATTCACCTTCAACTTTCAAATCTGATGAAGGACATTCCCATATCTTCCTTATCTGATGATGATTTTTCTGAGGTAAGCAACTACTAGCAGCATATGTGGTCAATTCTAGTGTTGGATGGCTTTGATCTGAAATTACTCCTTTCTCTGCCCTCTCTTTGGTGGATTGTGGTAATTCTGAGACATCCTCTGGCAAAACTTTTGAGTGGGTTTTAATGTTCACGAAGACAAAAAAATGATTTCGAGAAATTGTATTCTATTCAAAGGTCAAGGCATGCATTCGAGGATGCTCAATTATTGACCAAAACTAGGAAATTACAAGCTTAAATATTATAATTATAATCATAAATTATTGACCAAAAATAGGAAATTACTAGCTTAAATATTATAATTATAAGGGAGAAGGTCTAGATTTATCCCTCTACTATTGCATATTGTTTATATTTGTCCCCTGTCTTACTTTTCGTCCACTTTAACCCCTACCGTTAACAAACCTTTCAGATTTACCCCTAACCCTAATGGCCATCCACTGTGGCAGCTGATCCCTGCAATTTTTGGTCATGTCAACTGTCAAGTCAGATGGCCCTACCAAATTAAAACCCCCTAGAACCATAAACTTGACTACCCACTCATTTTCCTTAAATCTTCTAAGTTGTCTTCCGTCGTTCTATGCCCACCGGAAGCGGCAAATACAAAACATATGTTTTGGTCAAAATGGAAGATCCATATGCAAACATCCAAGTATTTGAAAAGAAAAATGTGAAATTTTTTTAACAGCTCGAGATTTTGGATATTTGGATTGACAAAAATTCAGATGATGATTAAGAAAATTGAAAACACTTGATGAGGACGCTGTGAAAGACTTATTGTACGAGTCTCTTGAAGAACTTGCTGCCTATATTTGGAAGATAAAGATTCAGAGCTTTACAATATAATCCTAATGAAACCACCATCTTTTGATTTCTATTGGAATCAAAAACTTGGTGGAGCCACCTAAGGAACAAAAGTGATGCTGGAATAATATAATTCTTTCACCAAGTCTAAATCCCAAAATTCTCAATAATATTCCGCTATCAATATATTGAAATATGACAAAGTCCTCCATATTCGACAAGGGAGGATATAAAAACGTGAGGTTTAGATGAAGAAGATTTAAGAGAAGTGCGTAGGTAGAATGGGTCAAGTTTATGGGTTTAGGGGGTTTTAATTTGGTGGGGCCATCTGATTTGGCAGGACATGGACAATAATTAGAGGGGTCAACTGCCACAGTGTAGGGCCGTTAGGATTAGGGGCAAATCTGTAATGTTTTTTAACGGTAGGGGCTAAAGTGGACGAAAAGTATAACGGGGGACAAATGTAAACAATATGCAGTAGTAGGGGGACAAATCTAGACCTTCTCCCTAATTATAATCATGATTATAATTATAGTTATGACATATTTTTAAAAGTCTGTTTATGACTTTATGTGAACCTTGGATATGCCACCAGATGCTTGCCAATCATGGCTTCGGCAAATGGAAAATAAATCAACTAGCAGTGTTTGTCTTTGCGGGGATTTGAACCTTAGTCTCCTATGATATTCGTCCCACTTTATTGACCGTTAAGCCACACCCTTGAATGAAATATTTGCATTTTATTGATAAAGTTACTTTTGACTGTGTGTACAACCTAGGTGCTTGGTGTGAGAAACTCCTTGCCACCTCTGTTTTTTTCCCTTTGTGTGTTTTCCAATCTGTAACAAAACCACGATTTGAATTTGGACTTATCGGGACAGTTTTGCTTGGTATTCATTACTATTTAGCTCTTTCTTTTTATTCTTGAGTTCTGCCTCCCAGCAACTGAATCTAACTAAAGTAGTATAAATGCATAAAATACATTTTTGGATATAATAAATCTGCTACTTCTGTGACTACTTACATTTAGCATGAATTTCATATTTGTATAATTGTTTGGTGCATTTGGATAGAGTGTATTTGTCAATTTCTTTCAGCAGAACGGGTCTAGGATATAGAGTAGTCTTTCTCTCCTGTGTGGTGTTAATCAATAGATTTTCTCATGATAATCCCTTTACTAATTTAACAAGATTGTAGGGCTCTATTTTCCCTGTATAACTAATATTTTATGACTGCAAAAATCTAGTTCGCCCATGATTACGTTCTTTTTATGATATTAGATTTTTCTATTAAAGATATCTATCCATATTACTTATACAGTTATACCTAAATATACCATGTCCTTTTTACTGAAAATATTTGTCATATTTCACTTCTTGAAAATTTAACATAATACTCTTTGACCAAGATTTATTGTAGATATTTTTGTAATTGTTGTTATTTTTAAATAGTTTCAAATTTTTTAAATGTTATTATTTAAAGGTGAATTAATCTATGTAAAGACTAACATAAAAGCTGATATAAATTGACTCTGATAAGAACAACGAAACTAGCGCGGAAGGATTGTATAGCGTGTATATTTATGTTGAGCGGGTTTGTCCTTTTTTTCTTCTTTTTCTGATGAATAAGTTTCATTAAAGAGGCATCCAGAAGATACTAAAGTTTACAAAAGAAGTGTGTTGGCCCCAATATGTTGACTGGATGTATCCTTTTGTACAACCAATCAATTATCATATTTTGCTATTTTTATACTGGACGTCATCTACCACAACCCTTCACCTTTATCCATGGTTACGTATATAAACATACGCACAAACACAAAAAAGGGTATAGGTCTAAAATTAATATATGTGCAAATGTAAAAGGCTTTTCTTGTGTATGACTACCTGCTGTATACAATTGTATTGCTGCTTCATTGGTCCAATATTTGTATTTTGTTCTAAGAATTTCTATATTTTTGACAGGAGGAATGTGAGGAGTTGCGTGAAAGAATAAAAGCTGGTTTGCTCCAGAAGCCTACTGTTGTAAGATATCTAAGCCTCAGCAAGTTTTTCATTCTACAATTCTTAGGTCTTTCATAGTGAAATAGAATGTAAGCAAATTTATTTGATTTAATAGATCTGACCATATTAGATTTCTCAAGGTTAATGTTTAGAACTGCTGGCTGCTGGTATTTTACCATATTTTCATTAAATGCTCCTAAATTGAAGTGCAGATCATCTGCTGACATGAATAACTTGGCAGTGATGCTTTAATAGTTACTCGTCAGGCGATTAAATCCTCTGCAGCTTCTTCGGAAATATTTACAAAAGATGTACTATACACACTTCTTCACAAAAAAAAAAAGGGAATCTATTGTGCACCTTTTTTTCTTCCCAAAGAGGGTGAAATCCACAAATTGTTAAATGCTGAAGAAATCTATTGTGCACCTTTTTTTCTTCATGGAAACTTCAGGTTTTCTGTGCTTTAATATTACAGTATGTTTGTGGAAATGATCACATGGACAACCTATATAGTTGAAAAGACATGGAAAGAATTGTATATAAACTGTCTTCAGTAGGCGCGTCTCTTCACATTGACTAGCTTTCTTCTTTTCTTTAACAATCTAATAGTCTTTATCTTAGATCCTAACCTCTACTGTGACTCATTTCTGCATCACAAAACTGCTGTTGTTATTATGTGGCATTAAAAACAAACTAAATTTGTTCCAGTTGTTACTTCTGGCGCTTCTTAGGCTCAGAGAAATAATCAGTAATGTTTTCCACGATGAAACTTTCTAACCCCATCCCCTCCAATATTAGCCTTTTTTAAAAATAAAATAACTTCTGGAGAATGCAGCATTTGGAAATTGTCAGCTACTGTATTCTTCTATCAATGATTTATTATTCTCAATAATTAGCTTGGATTTTGTATGCCTCTGTGTTGACTACATTAATACTTAATAAATTCTGGTCCTATTCTTTGCTTCTTATGAATGCTTTTATTTTATGTGGGAAAGAATAAATTTTGTGTATTCATGACTTGTTAGCCAACTATAGGTTGATATTTACTTTCATTTTGAGTGACGTGTAATCCATTATAACTTTGTTCTCAGATTAGTAATTTATGTATTGTTTTACTTTGACGTCATAATTTTGTTTTCAAATTGGTAATTCATTTACCTACTTCCTTGGCAGTTGGAGCTTGAGTCAAAAGCCCAAGTTCTGCACAAGGATATCACCAAGCATGTAAGTTTGGAATTCTCCGCCGATTCTCTTTGTCTGGTTGCCCTTGTGAACTGCAGGATGTTACTCATTTATTTGCTTGTTACTGTATACAGATTGCTGCTATGTTGTTCATCATCATCCCTTGTCATGTATATTTGTTTTTGACTCTATCTCATTTTGATTTGGTTACAGTGGATTGAGAGAGAAATTGCGTTGTTACAAAAGCGCATTGATCATGCCAATGAGAAGGGATGGCGCAAACAATATCCTTTCATATATCTCAAGGCTCCGTTATTTAAATCTGCATCTTTTTATGGTTGCATGGCACAACCTGTTCTTTGAATTCAGCAATTTCTTCTCTGCATAAGAGAAGCATAGTTCGTAATTGTTGTCTGCAGATTATATGTTGGTAATCATTTCCAGAAGCTCAAACTGTCATATGCACAAGTTTAGTCAGAGGGACTAGACTCAAATAACTGGAAGTAAAAGTAACAAGAGAGTCATTGTTCGAGACAGTCTTTTGATCTATTTTGCACCTTTCATATTTCTGGACAGAATTCATATACCTTTGTTCAATTCAAGATCATGCTATTGAGAATTAGTATGGATTTGTTTTTGGTCAAGAAAAAGCTGGGTTGTTTAAAATCAACTGTGACATACTTCCTTCCTGAATGTTATATGGTTCTTGGCTGAAAAATTACCTCCTGACTAGTAAAGCCTGGAATGATGCTTGATGTGAGGTTTAGATGAAACTCCAATGCAATGTTGATCAATAACATTCTTGTGTTTTTGCCACTTTAACTTGTCATGAAATAAGGCTTCAAACACCAAACCCTTAATATGGCTTTTTATTTTGTTAAGAGTTACTCTATCCATCCCAAAATGTATGACCTAGTTTTACCTATGCGGTATTTTAAGAGTAAAACATTTAGCTCTTTATTATGTTGACTTCGGTAGAAAAGAGTTATATAGTCTCGCCATCCTGAAAAGTTAACTTTATAGAATGGCGAGTAAAACGCTTAGCTCTTTATTATGTTTCGTGTCCCAAACTCCCAATTTATGTGGCATACTTCCCTTTCTAGTCTGTCCCAAAAAGTATGTCATACGTCCAAAGTAATTTAACGTCAAACTTCTTATTTTATCCTTAGTGAGATGATTTGTAGCGACATAAGTGTGTATGGCTTGTTTCAGGCAATAGTAACAAAATTATGCCTCTGGTTGGGGCTTTGGTGTAAAAGCTAAAAGCCTGTTTGATACTTGCTGATCCTGCTGATGAACCTGTCTCCTTGACCTACTTTAGTAGTTACACTGTTTGAGTTTCTGGAGAAGAAGCAGCTTTTACAGACAAAAAAGGAACAGGATAGACTCTTTTCCATGATGCCAAAAGTTGTAGCTGAGGAATTAGAGCCTGAAGTTAAAACGGTTGACGCCCTAGAAGAAAATGCAGTGGAACAAGAAAGAGAAAATAGTCGTTCACCAAAGTCAACTCCTAATGGAGCTACAGACTATTCTGGTGCAGGTGAGTTCTAACATCCACTCTGCAACAGAACTTTACAATATCTAAAACCTTATTCAGTTAAACCTTCCATTCTTTTTTACTCTATGGAGCATAGCCATTTTCTAGAAGCATACAGATGTAAGCTTCTTACATCCGCATATGTCAGCCTGAAAGCTTAACAAAGTTTAGACGCAAACAAGTTATTTTTGAGATTGATACCTGAAACAAGTTAGCTTTTAAGTGACTTGATAGTGTTAAATAATTTTACGCCTTCTAGTATGAACCAAAAACAAGTTATCCCCAAGAGAGGTAGTTTCAAGTACCTTGGATCTATACTACAAGGTAACGGGGAGATTGATGAGGATGTCACGCACGTATCGGAGCTAGATGGATGAAGTGGAGGCTCGCTTCCGGTGTCTTGTGTGATAAAAGTGTGCCGCTGAGAGTTAAAAGGTAAGTTCTATAGAGTTGTAGTTAGACCTACTATGTTGTATAGCGCAGATTGTTGGCGGGTCATGAATGCTCGAAGATAAAAGTAGTTGAGATGAGGATGTTAAGGTGGATGTGTGGGCATACCAGGTTGGATAAGATTAGGAATGAAGTTATTCAGGACAAGGTGAGAGTGGCTTCTGTGGAGGAAAAGATGCGGGAGGCGAGGTTGAGATGCTTCGGGCATGTTAAGAGAAGTATAAAAGCCCCAGTCAGAAGGTGCAAGATGTTAGCCTCAGTGGGTATCATGAGGGGTAGAGGTAAGCCTAAGAAGTCTTGGGGAGAGGTTATTACGCGGGACATGGTGCAATTGGAGTTAACTGAGGACATGACCCTAAATAGGAGGGTATGAAGGTCGAGGATTAGGGTAGAAGGCCAGTAGGTAGTCGAGCGTATCTCCTTGTCTTTCCCAGTTCACTAGCATTAGTGTTAGTATGATATCCTTTTATTCATAGATTGCTATTATTACCTAGAGTTTGATTGCTTTCTTGGCTTGAGTTTTTTTATCTTGTTGTTATTCCTTCTTCTTGCCATATTTGTCATTCGTTCTCCGGCCGAGGGTCTATCGGAAACAGCCTCTCTGTCCTTCTAGGGTAGGGGTAAGACTGCGTACATCTCATCCTCCCCAGACCCCACTTGTGGGAAAATACTGGGATTGTTATTGTTGTTGTTGTGATACCTGAAACAAGAAATTTAATCTGAACAGAATTTGAGAGAGAGTTGTTTTCAATTATTTTGACCAGGGTTGGTGGTGGGGGCAGATAAATGGAGATAATTTCAGTGGAAGGGAAGGGAAGGAGAGGTTAAAATGGCTCGAGTGGGAAATGGAAAAGCCAAATTAGTTGGCTGTCGAATCGACAGACAATTTTTGGACGAGCTGAAGTTAGTGGTGACCTCTCTCTCCCCTCAAGAATCGGTTATTGTCTGGAAATCTTGAAATTCTGTACTACAATATTTTCCCCCTGGAGTTCAAAAAGATCCAACTGTCCTGATGGTTGAGACAGATTGTTTTGACTATGGTAATTGTCAAATAAAATGATTTTTAGTTGAGTTAGATATCAAGAGACCTACGAGGATGTCTTATTTGTTTTGAGGCACCAATTGATTTAATGTGAGCAGAGACCTCTATCCTCTAAAGTATTGTGGAGCCTTCCAGATATTTCAGATTTGGCGAGACAGGTTAGTGAAAGTGATCGAGGCGCACCTAAGCATGTGGCTAGCGGGTAATGAAGTGGATGAATACCGTGGAGACCAGGGTTCAATTATCAGCGGAGACAAAAATGCTAGGTAGCCTTGGTGGCCAGAGTTACCCGATACCATTGCTGATGGGAGGTAACAGGTACCCGATGAAATAGTTGATGTGTGCACAAACTGGCACCAACTCCACCGTTTAGAGAAAATTGATGGTTGCTTACTGTGTTAGGGACAAATAATGTGGCAAAAAGGATTCTTGGGTGTTCTTTGCTCTTTTTTCTTTTCCTCGACTATCGTCTTTCCCACCTCTATTTTTTGTGCATGTGATAAGAAATGCTGGACAAATCAGATCAATCTGAATGACCAACAGCATCAGCGAGAACAAGTATTGGAACCGTCATTTGCCAGCAAACTTTATTTGATTTTATGCTGCAAAGTATTGTATATCTTTGCAGTACTCATATGGGAAAAAATGATGGCACTGTTTCTTTTTGTGATATGCCAAACCTGCTATTCAGTTATTCTGTCCTTGTCTTCACTTATTGATGAACCTGCCAAAATTGCTAGGATAAATTTCCTTATTTTGCTTTATGCAAAATGTGACAATTAGTAGGTTTCCGAAAGGACTCTTTTGACTCTAGTATCCAGTTTCTTTTTTAAAATCAGTCCAGGTTCCCAACTCATCCCCAGAAGCCCTCTGTTGGGTCTTTTCTTTTCCCCTCAAAGCGGGACTTGGACAATAAGGCCGTGCTAGTTTGTGTTGGGAAATTCATCTGCGTTCCCTAATGCTTTGTGATGCCTTCGTTCCCTTCACGAATTGTTGGTTTTTGTTGAAATAGTTTAAGTTTTAGACGAGGTGATCACACAATTCAATATGGTATCAGAGCATACAAAGGTTGTGGGTTCAAGTCTCACCGTCGACCATTATAAAAAAGAATCTACATGTGATTGTCCCAAGCAAAAGAGTCATGCTGAACATGAAGGGACGTGTTGAAGCCATAATTAAGTAATTAAAGTATGCTAAGCTTCTCAATGAGGTGGTCATACAATTCAATAGTTTTCTTGAAATAATCTTCTTCCTCCATCAATTTGTTTGATTTAATACTATTGCTGCCTCCTGAAAGTTTGAGGAAGTTTGATGTTTGAACCCTGATCTTGATGGGAAAGTTTCGTATTTGGGTTAAAGTATGCGAAGTTTGCAAAATGGGTGCTATGCTTATCTTAGTCATCCTTTGTTATGTCAAAATTTGCTAGTCCTTTTTTCACTTATATACTATGTTTTGCATTGTGTGAGGGTAGGGTTAAATCTTTTCTGTAGTTGTAAGTAGCTATTTTACATTTCTATTATTCATTTGTTATATTGTCTCCTGTAATCTGATTAAGGATAAAAATACTTTGCTCAGTCAATATCTGAAATATGAGTTCTTATACTTCCCTAAGTTTGACTGTATTTTATTTTCAGGGGATACCATGATCCTATCCAACAAGGCTTTTGTAAGTGGAGATGCACCCGTTGTTGATGGAAATGGTAATTCCTTCTTCCTCTGGTTTTTGAAATTTAGTGCCTTTAATTGATTCTCTTTTCTTGATTGAGATGGGAGTAATTTGGGTTTAAAATCCTTTACTCTGCCAAGGCTCTTCACATTTATATTTAGTGATCAAAAGATGACAAATATTTTGTTGTGATGCATTTTTAAGGGTATATAGAGAGATATCTGTAAAACTCTTATTTGCTTGTCAATGGAGGAACATGTACGAGGGAAAACCCATTACTACTGTGAAGGCCAATTATGGAGCCCAATAATTACTAATAACTTAATAAACGAGTAGGGTTGTATATGATCCTCTAATTGGTTTCGGTTATTCTGTGTCTGATTCAAGCAGATCAATATGCAGACATGACTCAAGAACAAATGGATACTACGGTTCCTGTAAGAGCTGAAAGAAGTGAAGAAATGCAGGCGGTGGCCTCTGGAGAAGACAATGTCACTCAAGAAGTACAGGTCCAGGTTACTCAAACTGAGGTAATTGAATTGAGCGATGATGAGCCAGACGTTGAGGACCAAAAAGATGGAAAACAGGCTACTTATATGAACCCTGAAGTCCCAATTTGGCACTATCTGGATCCTCAGGGAAACATACAGGGTCCTTTTCCTTTGACGTTGTTGAAACGTTGGAGTGATGCTTACTACTTCGAGCCAAGCTTCCGAGTATGGATGATTGGCCAAAGACTAGAAGAAGCTGTCTTGTTGATTGATGTGCTTCGCCATTTTTTCCCCGTCAGATGAAAGCACCACATTCAGTGTTGTAATGCACCAGCAGTAGGTTGGCAAGTTCTGAACTTGTGTAAGAAAGTTGTCAAATCTTGGTTTCTGATTAAAGAAAAAAGAGGTTCTTTTACTAAATGTCTTTATTCAATGATCATTGATCATGGTACACTAAAATATATCTTTCTCATGAAAATGGATCAATCCTTGCAGCCATTGCTGCATTTCATGTTTCAGAGTTTTGTTACCAGTCATTTTTACTTTGTTACTAGGTAGCAGAAGAAGAGGCTCTGTAATGAAGTGATGAACAAAAAGAACCTTTTGTTACCAATCAATAATGTGGCCTTTTAGCAGTTAGTACAACAAAATTGTTTCATTAATCATTTGTTTTTTCTCTGATGCGCAAACTAAACCGCGTCGCTGAAAGCTTTTCCCGCATTCTATCTAATTTGAAGATGCTTACATCATCTTACACCAAATTGTTATGCATGTCTTCCATTTTATTGTTAGCACAAAAAATGTTAAACATGACTAGTTGCTAGCTAATACACAAAAAGAAAAGAAAAAGTCTTAACTAAAGCGTTTTCTTTTAAAATGAAAAAGAAATTGCTTGCTAGATAATTTATGTATCATCATGTATACGTTAAAAATAGAGGAAATTTAGACATCTCCACGTTAATGGAGTGTGGTTATAACTTATAATCAAGCATTATGGGTGGAAATCAATATCCATAATCATATTCTTACCGGAAAAGATTAAATTTATAAAAGATAAACTAAACCAGCATAGAGCTAAAGATATAACGTGGGAATAAAACTTAAAACCTACCATTAGGGTCTCCACCTTATCACTTGAACTAGGTGTCAAACTTTAATTAAATTATAGCTTAGTGAGGGGGAGCTAATTTTTGCATTTCATTGGCCACTCTAAAAAGTCATTGACATTATTTTTCTCACATGACTACAAATTGTCTAGATTATTAAGCATCTTCATGAAATTGACATGACAAAATCATTGGACTAACCAAAAAAGATGCAACTTTTTGGAATGCTTAAAAAGTCTTTTTGGTGACTTAATTAAATTTTGAATAAAGAAGTGGGCTATTTATTTATTTATTTATCCTAATTATTATATTAAGTGCCCGAAAAAGAGCCAACAAGAGTCTACTGAAAAGAATCTTTCTTGGTTTCATGGAATTTGGGTATTTTAGATGACAAATCACTTTCAATCCGATCTTTGTCACGCTCAAATTATGACTCTCAACAAACTTAAATTTTTCTTCCTCAATAATGAAATAAAAAAATCTTTTTTTTTTGGTTTTTGCATTATGACAATCATAAAAAACCAATAATTACTTAGTGGGTTTCATGTGACGTTGTCATTTAATCCCTTCGGTCCACAATAAGTGACCAATTTGCTTTTGACACACACATTAGGAAATACTAAATTTTAGACGAAAATAGTTAGTGTGACTAAACTACCCTTAATTAAATGTTGCAACATAGTTATAGTAGCACTTAATTCTCTTCTCAAATGTTAGGAGTAAATGACTTTTTTAGAGATACATACATGAGGGTAATTTTGGAAAAATAAATTAATTTTTTTTAATTATATAAATGGACACTTATTTTGGAACAAAATAAAAAAGCAAATTGATCACTTATTATGGACCGGAGGGAATAGTATCTAATTTCTTTTGGTTTAATTTAAGCGAAGTGGGGAAATAGGTGTAGTACAATATCATGTGTAGATTATTTTTGTGTAAGCGATATCAACATATTATTACTGCTCAATTTGTATATCGGTTTGAATGAGACTAAGGTCCTTCTTCTTCCAAATTATTATTTGCTTTGCTTTATTTTTAAGATGTATTAGCCATTTAGTCTACCCTATGTATTATACGTACTTTTTAAGTTTTTATAAGAAAATATTATTACTAGTATTTATGAACTTTCGGCAAAGCAATGTCAGATAATCTCCACCACTAGGTGGTAGGCAGCGGGTAGGATTACAGGGACGGAGCCAGAGTATGGGATACGGTCGTATGGGTTCGGCTGAATCAGTAGCTTTTATTCAAAATTATATATTAGTTTTAAAAAATTCATTGAATATTTATAAATATTAATTTTAAAACTCAATAATTTATAAGAATTATAATTTCAAACCTATAACTGACGGAATAAAGGGGCAAAAGCTAATATTGTTTTAACTTTTGGTAAGCATCTAAGAAAGGGATCAATTGCTCTTATTTGTGATCATATTTGGATATCATTGTCCCTATTAAAGATTATTATATCAAGTGGAAAAAAAAGGAAGACTGGATTCCATTGCTTTCAGGCACTAGTTTAGCTTTTTAGTATCCTATAATAAGAATGCGTATAACATTAGTTTCCTCTCGTTTTACAAGATCTTATCCTTATTTTCCACTAAAACGAACAAGAATCTTGTAAATAAAATCGAAACAAGGTAAAAACATACACAAGAACGTTACTTAGAACCACAATTACAATTAAGTTATTACATTTAGGAAAGAAACACAACATTCTTTCATCTCAAATATTTTAAATTTTAATTGTATTGGTATATATAGTTTCTACGTATATAGATTTGGGGTGGGGTGTCACACACCGTATAGGGGTGGGGTGGTTGAAGTGGAGGTTAGCGCCGGGAGTCCTGTGTGACAAGAAAGTACCAACGTTACTAAAATGTAAGTTTTATAGAGCAGTGGTTAGGCCTGCCATGTTGTATGAGACCGAGTGTTGGCCGGTTAAGAATTCACACATCCAGAAGATGAAAGTAGCAGAGATAAAGATGTTGAGGGGGATGTGCAGGCATACAAGGATGGATAAAATTAGGAATGAAGATATTTTAGAGAAGGTGGGCGTGGCCCCCATGGAGGACAAGATGCGGGAAGCAAGACTCAGATGGTTCGGGCACATTCAGAGGAGGAGCACTGAGGCACCGGTGAGGAGGTGTGAACGACTGGCTGTGGTGGGCACGAGGAGAGGTAGAGGGAGACCTAAGAAGTATTGGGGAGAGATGATCAGACAGGACATGACGCGACTTAGGATTACTGAGGACATGGCCCTTGACAGGGAATTGTGAAGGTCGAACATTAAGGTTGTAGGTTAGGGAGAAGTTGTGAGTATTTCTACAACGCACTAAAGTGAGACTAGCCAGTTAGGAGTTAGTCTTAGGATGCTACTGGTCAGCTACTGATGTAGGGCTTTATCTGCTGGATATTATTATATCTTCCATCTTTTTCGTACTTCCTATATTTCTTATATTGCTTTTATTTTATTTTATGTTATTTTATGTTATTTTATTATGAATCTATTGATAGTACTAATATATCGTCTGTTGTCGGTTTCTTGAGCCGAGGGTCTCGTGGAAACAGCCTCTCTGCCCCTCGGGGTAGGGGTAAGGTCTGCGTACATATTACCCTCCCCAGACCCCACTAGTGGAATTATACTGGGTTGTTGTTGTTGTTGTTGTTGTTGTTGTTGTTGTTGTTGTTGTTGTTGTATATAGATTTGCTTTTTAAGCCTAGGCGGACCTACCTTTTGGGTACTTGGAAACTTCGAAAAAAATATATGTATATACAGAGGCAATTAATTCTATGAGTTCAACATTTACGGTTCTTAGTAGTGAACCTATTATATTTTTAAAGTTATGGGTTCAGACCCACTCTATGTTACTATTTTAGTGAATTTTTACACTAAATGTATACTCCATGTTGAAAGTATTGGGTTCATCTGAACCCGGTATTATAACACTACATACGCCTTTGTATATATATATTTTAAATAATGGGTATATATTTTGATTGGCACCCTAAGAATCAAAATCTTAGGCAACTGCATTGGTCGATTTAGGGAGCATAACTTGATTTTTAGTGTGTTGCTTGGGTTCGATTCCAGCTCTTTGCTCAAATATTTATTCAACAATGGTACTATAATGGAATTTTAGCGAAGTTAGAAACATAGAACAATTTTGTGAACACTAGTAGGACTTTACAAGAAGCTGAATATAAC